CAGCTGGGGCCGGGCGTCCCGGCGGACACAATGGGCTTTATCCCGCGGGGAGGTCTCGGGCGGCGATTCCCACCCCGACTTTCAGATTCGTGTCACACGCCGGCGAGGCCGCGAGTTAATGAAAACTCTCTGTCTGTCTCTCTGCAGATGGCTCTCCGGATACCGCCGTCCGCGCTGGGGATAATGCCCGGTGCGGCCGCGTAACGCGCTGTGATTTCTTTCTCTCCGCGTACGCTCCCCTGCACTCCATTTACACGCGAGCGGGGAGGCTGGCCGACCGAAAGGCTGCTTTTCTGATCTCCTGTGGGATCTGCTCTGCCTGGTGCTGGAGAGCAGAAGCTTCCTGGGAGTCATCCTTGCCATTTTTCTTCAGGAGTCAAGGGAGCTTTCTCTTTGACGATGATGAAAACCGAAGGCAAAGGGGAAAGGACTTTAAGAAGTGCTTCTCCACACCGAAATGCCTATAAATCTGATTTCCATGCTATCAAATGCTCTTTTGATGGCGCAAACAATCCTGAAAATGCTTCCAACAAAACCGGCTTGCATCAGAAGCTGAGCACCTCTTCCAACGGAGGGGGAAATGACCCACACAGTCGAGGTAGAGCTGCCACTTATGGCAATAGAGTACACAAGATCAAAAATATGTTTCTGCAAATGGGAAGCTCTTCTTCCACACCCTCTTGTGAAAGCAGTCCACCTGCAGAGACCAAATTAATCAGCCGGGCCACAGCAGCAGAGTACGGACCTTCTCCAGGTAGCCCATCTTTCCTCATTGTCCAAAAAAATAATCTTCTTAATACAAGTACCAGCCCCTGCGGCAGTCCTGTGGATTCACTGTCTGTGCCTTCTGCTGCCGACAAGGTCATCCGTAGCAGCGATGAGGCAGACTTGGATAAAGTTGCCCTGGCAGAAAAATTTTCGGAGACCAGGAAACTATTTGAGAGAAATATAAAACAACAGAGCTCAGTGGACAGATACTCCCCCAGCAAATGTGAAAGAAGTGAGGATAAGAGGAGACACGGTTCAGCTTCTGATTGCAGCAATGTGGTGGACCACTTCAGTTTTAATACAGAAGCGAGTCTTCCAGTTGCGCTGGAGAAAGTTGAAAATCAAGGTAACGAGGAGTTGAAGCAGCAACATCCCAATAGTGGTTCCAAATGCTCCTTCCTGAATGCAGGGCCTATTTCTAGGAGGCTGGAAAGCTTTCTGGGTGACAGTGATACTGAAGAATCCAAAGAAATTTCCAAAAATTATAGTCCTCCAAATCAGGACCCTTTGAGAGGTCACCACAGTTTGGATTCATCTGCTGTTGCTGAAGGATGTCCCGAGAAGGCTGTGTCCACCAAAGAGCCTGTGATCCTCGGAGATGAGCTAAGCGAGGCACTTGGAAAAGACAAAGGACAGCAACTGGTACTTGAGAAAAGCCTGTGGGGTATGGGCAGTATGCCTGGTCAGGAGGCTCAGTGGAGATCAGATAGTGTTCTCTCCCACGTTTCCCCCATGGAGGGGACTTGTGCAGAGCTGGTTGCACAAAATGACACCTCAGGGCATGAAAAAGAAGGTTTGGAGACAGATCATGTTGTTCAAGAGGATCAGGTGCTCCAACATCCAGTGCAAGAAGGGAAGAGGAGCGACTATTCCTTGGAGGTGGTAGAAGAGTTTACGGAAGGCAGTGAGACCAATCAGGAAGAAGAAAAAGATGGCATGTCTGTGAAAGATGGTCCAGTTACACGAGATCAGGATATTCTAGAGCAGGAAAGGGATATTGAAGAAGAAGAGCAAGTGGTGGAAAAGCAGAGCGAGAACTTCAGTGCTTTTGGAATAGAGAATGCAGCTTTTGATGATTACAGGGATATAGAACCAGAAAACCAAGGGCCTGAAGGCAAAGAAATTTTGGAGGGAGAGGAGGAGGAGGAGTATATGTATGACAGTGAATATGAGGAGTTTCCTGGACTTTCTGAAGAGGAAGATCCTGAGCCAGACCGAAAAGTCAAGTTCTCAACAGCTCCTATCAAGGTAAGTACATTTGAATTTTCTTTATTTTTTGTTGTTTTGCAGTCAAAAATATCCAGGAAATGATTTTTGGGGATTTCTTATCAAAGCTCTATAAACACTTAGAAAAGTGTAGGTTCATGGCTTTTATGAAAAACTGAGTAAGGGAGAAGTTACAAATTTTCTGAACAAGAGAGAAGTTACAAATTAGTCACAAGTAATTTCTGAATCACAGCAGCTTCCTAAGATAGCCAGCGTAGTGAAACGTGAGGATTTGCTTACCGGATGCTTTCAGGAACACCAGACTTTTAGGAGTAGATGCAAACTTGTGACCCTTAATACTTGCCTTCATTTATTTAAAATTGAGGCATTGCATTAAGAAGAATTTTTCAGTTTTACTTTTTGTAGAAAAGTTTAAAAAAACTCAAAACAACAAAAAACCCATAGCAAACCTTCAGACTTGTTTTCAGAATTAACTGTGAGAAAATATCAAATTACTGGTTCCTGTTTAAGATTTTAGAGTTCTCTCTAATAATAACCTTTTTTTTTTTTTTTTTTTTTTTAAGTACTGGCTTGGTGAACATACTGTAGGAGTGTTAACATGAGCATTTTGGAGTTAGGTAGTTGTGGAAGTAGAAGTTACAGGGCAGACTGGATAATGAGGAGTAGTCTAAGTTACAACACTAACAAATTAAAAATATTTAGGTGTCTGATCTTCCCTCACCAAAACCACCCACAAAGTAAGTCATTCTACAGCTCAAACTGTGTTTACCCATAGCAGACTTCAATTATTGTAGTCCCTCTGAAAGTTTGGGAGGAGAATTGGGAGATGAAGACCAGAATGGAATGGGAAACTGTCTGGGCTTCCTCAAACATACATTTCTTCTACTATTACATGAATGAAAACCAGCATCTTTAATAAACTATTCTAACACTTTTTTTTGTACAGAGTCAGGACTCACTTTTACTGATCAGAGGGATGCAAAAATTCTGTTGACTCCTGTACTTCCTGCAGCAGAGGGCTGTAATTTCCCAGTTTGCTAAACACATTCCAGTGCTGTACCCCAGAAAATGTTTTGGGTGTGGCAAAATATGAGTTTTGTTGCATGTGGGTTGTTTTATAGTCTCTCCATAGACAGGCTGACTTTATATGGCTTTCTTGTAGTAGATGCTGCTTTAGTGGTGACCTGGAGCGCTGAGAGGGGGAGTGCCACTATTGGAAACTGCGTAACGAGTCTGGTGAGGGCTGCGAGAGAGCCTGAGGGGCATCAGTCCATTTCCACTCACATTTGTGCACTGAGTATCTGAGGAAAGTGCCATGTATAGTCTACTGTAAATGTGTGTGCATTTGGTTTCCTGCTGTAAGCAGGGTTTAACTGATCGTT